CATTTTAAAACCCTTATCTGTCAAAATACATTATTATTACAGATGTTCATTATGACACTTTTTGCATCAACTTTCTGTAATAAAATTTAATCGTCATTAGACTTCGAGAATAAAATTTGTTTAAAACCCTATTTTCGAACTGGTAAAAGTATACGATATATATATATATATAATACATTGTAGAAATGACGCCCCTAAAATCCTTTGTGCTCTAATAAAGATGAATACTTATATATATATATATATATATATATATATATATATATATATATATATATATAGTCACCACAGAAAAAATCAGAAATTTATTTTGCAAAAAATACCGTTCAAAAAATACGAAGAAACCCGACTCTGCTATATATGATGAAATATCTACTTTTCCAAGATAATCCTTGTGCAGTTCCACCGTGTCACATAAATGTTTTTTGGCACTTTCCGTTATCCAGTAATAACTTAATCAAACATACAGAAAGCTGAGGTGGTCTATAGTACTGATGATGCGTACAAAAGTGTTTATACATTGTGAAGTGAGTAAATTTACCCAATTTCTTTTTGGTCAGTTGTTAACACAACGTATTACGTTTATGACTGTGATATATCTTTTAGACCAAAATTACTATTAGCCATCACACCAAAATTTAGAATTGTGTTGAAGTATCGCGAAAATTGAAGACTTAGCACTGTGTGTAAACAATTATTAAGGATTTAGGTATCATTAGTTAATGATATCATCTTGCGATATTAGTATTACTAATTTTATAGTTCCCATTGTAGCATTAGGAACAAAATATTCAGCGAAGAGACTCTTTTCAACAACGAATTTATTATCAAGCTATACAACTGCATATATATGGTTTTTAAGAAATTATATCCAGTGAGGGATAATTTCTTCAAAACCATATATGTGCGATTGTACAGCTTGATAATAAATTCGTTGTTGAAAAGACTCTTAATAATAGTATTAGTTGATATTGATGACCATACCTTGAAGAATATTGATTTGCTGTCTAATTACTTGGTTTATACCTCCCGCCTCCGTCCAAAAACATGAGAAACTGTTTATCCACATCGTGCTCAGTATAAAGCTTAAACCTTAGTTAAAACTAGAATGAAAGGTGAATTTCGTACAGAACTGTATAGGCAGTTATAGCTAACTAAACATCTTGGCGCGTCTCATTTAGTAGGATCGACAGAATGATATCATACTGGGATGCCCAGTTCATAATAATAATAATAATAATAATAATAGAATGGATTTTACTTACTTCCTTACTTACCTAGTTTGTTTTTCAACTGTTTATCAGTTAGAATCTCTTGTCTATGAGAACTGTTAATGCATATAACGAGTGTTTAACTGTACAGCTTAATACACCTGCGTCTCGTTTAAATTCCACGATCGCCTAATTAGTGCTTTCCTTGAATATTCATCCTATTTTGAATACAGTAGGGAATTTTGTTAATTGATTCTTCAACCACTTTAAGGTCTGAAATGGCACACTTTAGTCGGAATATTCCTACTCAACGTGAAGTCTTATTTCTAAACTGATTCCCACTGATGATAATAATGACTAAATGTTGCAAATAAAAATGACTACCATGATGAGCAGTTGTAAGTTATTCACAAATATTTATTAAATGGTTGGTAATAAACCCCTTAATAATGTTCGAAAAAATTAATGATAACCCACTATAGTTGCACTATCACAGTCTTAATTGGCTTTCCTCTTTAATAGGTGCAAATTTATTCATTTGATTGCAAAGATAACGAAAGGTTATGTGAAACGCTTGATTAACCAAAACAGCAACATAATTCCTAAACGTATATTCCCATAGATAGAACGAAGAACTTCAGTTTATTCATCTACACTGACCTAGTCCAATTTTCAAATTAAATAGAAACTTTTGAAGAGGAAAACAAAATAAGCCGGTTTGCACTGAACCATTTGAAGCCTGAACAATTTCTCTAAGAGGGTCAGTCATAACGATATAGGTTGAATATAACCTAATCTGTTTCAATAAACAAATCCACTCGTATGTCATCAGTAGAATAAAGGGACTATGTATTTTTTGCCAGTCAATAATCAGCTCGATATATATGAAGGGGTTATCTGAAAACACAATTTATTGAAAAAAGTCCTCGTAGAATTACAATACCTGAAAAGTTTTTGACTTTTCTAGCACATTTATTAAACAGGCAGGTTATATTTTTGCATGCCAAGATTCTTTCTCTTTGAATAAATCTCTTTTCGATTAGGCTATGATATTTTTTGTCGGTGGCATAGCGGTTAGGACGCTCGCCGACCATGCACATGGTCCGGGGTTCGATCCCCGGCCGGCGCAATCCTTTACCTCACTCAGCCAAAAGTAAAGCTGGTGAAGAAAAAAGGTTGGGAATGAGGCTAGTAACCCCATCCTGTAAAAAGAAACACCACTGCTACAGAAACTTCAAGCCACTAGCTTAGAGCCCTATGTTTCATTGGGAATGTGAAGGAAAACAAAAAATAATATTTTTTGAATTCAGAGACTCTAGTGCTTTGTGCATTACTGATACAGACAATAAACGCATGTATAGTGTTATGTAGTGTGATGGGAACCATTTTTCAACTATTCGATATGCAAATGACCAATAGCAACAGGTTTGATTACACAAACTATCAATAACTCATTCTGCGCTCAAAACCTGCTACACATTTATTATTATTTTTCTTCAAAGACTGTCTATTAGACTCAAAACTGGTGTACGTTGGCAACGTTCAGAAAAGGGTTTGTGCAGTTGATACTGGCCAATAAATACAATGCAGTGACTGCAACAACATGATGTATGACCTTCACTGCAACTTTGTATTAATTATCTATGGACTCAATGACCTCTTATTATATCCCATTACTGATACAGACAATCTGTGCCAATGGAATGTTATTCTCACATGTTCCCACAACTCATGACTGCATACAATATATCTATTTGAACATTCTATTTGATGTTAGAGATAGAATACTACGCAACAGAATACTATGTATATTTTAACATTCTGTTTAATGTCATTTGATGTAAACTGAGATCACACGCTTAGTGACTGGTTAACGAATATAAACTGTAGATATATAAACAGCGGTTTGATAAAACTATTACTTAATAGCAAAACGTCAGTAAAAACAATATCGTTTTGTTTTTCATTCATTGGGAAATACAAAGACCTTTATTATAATGAGCGGTTTGATTATTTGAAAATATACTTTGGCTTCCGTCTTTTGCCTTTTGTTGTTTCAATATCAGTGAAAATGTTCCCCACGTTCACGATATACACGTGTGAACACTAAAAATATTCTCATATCTCTGTCTAGTTTATTTATAAGTTGTAGTTTAAAAAAATTCAAATCGATGCATTTTAAATAAAACTCGTGATGCTTAGTGTAAATAAAGTATAATGTTACTGTTTACACCACCTAAACATCTTAGGATTGATTTCATTTTTTGCTGAATTTATCCGATGAAAGGTTAGTTAGAAAGTTTTGTGAGTGACTGAAATCAATCTTTCACACTTTGCTTCAACAGACTTATGAGGATGTTTTAATTTTCAAGCCGGTTGATGACTCACTTTTTATTAAGGTGTCACAAGGATATCCTGATAATGCGTAGATTCGGTGACTGATACATGTAAGGCTGTTGAATCTTTATAAGCTTCATTATCGGTAAACAAGGTTTTCAGGAGATTTGCGGCTGCATTTGATATATCCGTTGTACTGACTAACACACCTGTTCATGAAGTCAATTTATATTAAATTATATGCAAGGCTTAGAATCTGATCTGAAATATTTTCTGGTAATGTGCACCTCGGACATTCATTTTAGTTTAACAATAAATTGTGCAGATGGGGTGTGAAGCCAACTGAATCCCATGTCGGCGGAATCAAAGATTGGTAGACTTAAACGTGTAGTTTGAAGGATAACACCGCATATCAGGTTTGACAATATCTTTATCATCTGCATTTATGAAATCCAACTTATTTGGAAACACTGATATTGCTCATAACGGTATAGATTTTTACTTTAGAATACAGATTTGATAGAGAGTCTGGATGTCGTCAGACAACTTACAACAAATTATATGCTCCAAAGATTCACTTACATAAAAGGCAACTGAAATAATACTAAATTGGATTTTGTCATTTTTCTATTAAACAAAAATTAGTCACCATCCAGAAGTTATTTTACAGAGTGATTATGATGTGCTACCGTAGAAAGTCGGGGGAAGTGCTTGAATCTCTACGCCAAGCTTGCAAACAGTTTTCAATAGAAATGCAAAGAAATCAAACAAAGTGCTTGGAAATGACTCTATTATGGATAAGAATTTATTTTGATAAATCACACAGTTTTATACAATAATATTGAATGATGACGTTTCGAGCACAAACTATTGCCACTCATAATCATATAATACTCAGCAAAATTCTGTATGTAATCTCTTCATTGCTGGAGCAGGTAGCCTGTCCTGAGGCTAAACTGTTTCCTATGAACTAATCAGAAACCTAATTAAATACTAAGTAAGACAAAAAAACTTGAAAAATCAAAAACAGCATGCATTTGTAATAAAAATCATATAAGATTTGAAGTCAAGAGGTGAAATGTATTCGTTTTCCGCAATAGCACTGATTAAACGTTATATTTCCAGATTGTGTATGTTACTATGGTATATCTCAAAGCCTTTTTTTGGGGGGGTGGGTGGGTAAACTCGGCATTCTTTGAGAAAAGAGTGATATGCTTAATGACTGTGCGATGTATAGTCTGTGTTCAATATACCATTGATTCTCCTCAAAATCACCACCCATGACTTTGATTTTCTTTACTTTTTTTTAGGGCGAACAACCAGTGGTGTAGACTTTTAACAACTGATGTTTACAAACCACGCATTTAATAAAACAAAAAAGTAATTTCCTTCTCTCGTCATTTTAAGACTTTATTCATCAATGCAAATAAATAATACTTTAGTAAATTTTAGGTTCGGTGATTGAACAACAACCTGCTTCACATTGTGGCAATGTACCTGTATTCATTCCGGGTCCAGATGCAGAACACATTGTTTGTCCATATTGCGGCAAAGACGTTACAACACGTGTACAGTATAGAGTTGGATTATTAACATGGATGGGTTGCACTGGAATTGTTCTTTTTGGGTAAGCTTTTTTCTATATAATTTCGTTCTAAATTGATGATGCTAACTTTAGATAAATTATCATTATTCCTTGCTTATCATGACACAGAATTAAACACAGAAAGTTTAAAAACTCGGTTACAAGATATCAGTTAGGCATTTATATAAAGCAGCTGATCATATCATAACTTTAATTGCTAAGAGTCTTTAAGACAGAAATCAACAATACTTTCTCAAAATGTTTTAAGCATCATATGTTTTAAAGACAGTGAGGAGTTGAGTTATTAACAGATGATAAGTCTAATCTTAGCATGTTAACTCTGAAACAAGTGCAGAAAACAGGGCCTATTTCAATATGCTTTCATACATGAAAAGATTGTATTCTTAATGCGTAAATGTTCAAGAAAGGTTCATTAAACACCAATATGTTGTCTATCTTTCACACTACAATAATTACAAAGGAAATGAACAACCAGAAATGACGTTGTGAAAGAAAGATTCGACTGTTTCTCAGTCAGTTAATTAAAATAACTACTTTTAACAGGAGTACTTGAACCATCGGATCAAACGATGAAATCCACTGACCAGAAAATCAGAATATAAAAAATAAAAGACTACAGGAAACACATGCTGGTGAATGTAAATTTAGACTTGTAATGAACTAAACATGCAATTATTCATTCCAAGCATATAGTATACTAGAGTGAAACACAAACTTCTCGGAAGAAAATCATCTTTTGACTGAGCATTATTCGGGACTTCTGAAGATGCACGAAAAATTCAAAGGTGACTTTTGCTTTCGTACTAATATTTATGAATATTTCCATAATTTAATCAGAACAATTGAGACATACAATCGTCATTAAAGGCAGCATAGGATCATATCAGAAAAGTATTGTGGAACAAGTATAAGAACATGAGATGAAATTATATATATATATATATATATATATATATATATATATATATATATATAAGACTCACAGATCATAATAGAAATAAGCACAGAACTGCAGAAGTTCAGTGTTTTAAACATTAACATAGCGTTCAACAGAAGTAGGCTATTAAGCTACAGAATTTCATCATGAGCTGACATTAGTTAGAGAACCACTGGAAAGCCTGGTAGTACTGGACAACTGTTTCGTCCTAGTTTGGGACTCTTCAGCAGTACGCACCCACCGCCAGGGTTCGAACCAAGGACCTTCCTGATCCAATGGCCCAGGAACTATAACTTCTGCCAATTCACGACATGGAGCCACTCTTAGCCAATGTCTTCGGCGAGTATTTGTCCTCACACCCGACCTACTGCACCCTACTGGTCACGACTTCTCACTAGAACTCCAGGTAAATACCTACCTGAATAGGGCAAGTCTCTAGTGAGCATCTCATTGATATTCAAGCGTTGGTTTGCAGGGATTTGATTGGTTACAGTACTCCCAGGTTTTCCAATGGTTCTCTAACTAATGTCAGCTTATGGTGAAATTCTGTAACCAATCAACCAAATCCCTACAAACCAATACTTGAATAGGCAATTAAGCTCTGACTTTTAGTATTCCGTGGGTCTCGGAAACATACTCCCCTATGTAACTTAAATACGCGTTGAATCACTTTATGAATTGGTGCCTTGTTTCACTTTGTCTGCATCTAACTCTTTTCTGACCTAAACCTATTTTGGCTGACAGTACTTAAGGAGGAATCCTTGGGATTTTAATATAACCCTAACTGTTATCTATGAATAAATCCATAATTACGTAGAGTAATACTATACATAACGACAACAAGTAAAAGGAAGTAACGTAAATATATCAGCAGTTAAACATTCACATATACTGTTTACATACACACATAAATGTAAATATAAATTGTATAATCTACTCTGTGAATCGTCCCAATTAGTTCAATAAACATACTGAAAAAAAACATATTCGCACTCAGTTTTTTGACTCACAATTCCAAAGCATGAAGTTAACGAATGCCAGTTAATGAAAACTGTTAGTCTCAGCCATTTGCTAATCTGTTTATTACTAATTTTACCTGAGTAGTATTCAGATCACCAGTTGGACTGGTAGTCATAATCTTCATTTCGAATACAACCATCAATACTTGGCATCAGTCAATGAAATCCACAACAGTTGGTCTTAGCCACGTAGGAAGGTGTAGACTTCCAGGCTGGGGTCCTCGGGACGGCAAAAATCTATGGTTGGAAACAATTAGTGACATGACTCAAAATCGTTCTCAGTGGCGCAGATACATCCACTCCCTGTGACTTATGATCTTCAATGAAATTGTTTTGTATTTCTTTATTACTCCTTTGTCTCACACCTCTGCTCACTGTTTCTATTATGCTTTTCTTGTACTTTCTTCTCTTGCTTCGCGTGCTACACGGAATGTGGCGACTTGAACTTCCGCATATTTGTGCAAAGTTCTATGTCGAAAACAGACAGACAGACAGACCATCAATACGCACAACTAAAGACACTTCAACTCGAATGGAGTATCTGTCAGCAAAAACTCAGTTTTCAAATGGTAATATCAGATGGTAATCTGAAAGGAAAGGAAACTCTACACTGACTTAGAAACTGTAGTAAAAGCTGTAGACAAACTATCATCAGTACACAGTATCTGAAGAAGTCATGATTTGATTTCAGTCAGTTCAAAGTCTCGATTTTCCAATAGATTAAACTATTCAAGTCAAAAAGTGAAGTAATTCCACGGTCAGTGGTATTTGACTATGAATTTAATTTGAAATACGATACGATGTATCGTTGTTATTGTGGACGTTCTTAAGCTTTCATCATATTTCACCTAACAGAACTTTTGCGATAAACGATGAAGCAGTATCTACTAGTGCTATTAAGTAATCAGTCTTTAATTCACCTAAAATTTTCGAAAATAAATAATCAGCCTCCAGACGCATGAAAATCGCTTAGACACCTATCTTACTGTCCACCATTGGGAAAGGTGCTCAGTGATATTATGTTGATAACGGTAAACTATAAAGGTATGTTTCCTCTTCCAGATAATTGGACAGGTTTTATTATTTGCATTATGCCAAATAGTGTCCTCTTAATGTTACCGTTCACAATTGGATAGCTTTAGATAAAGCTTAAAGTAATGTTTGAAAGCGTGAAATTCAAGCACATACAACCCATCCGGTGTATATATTTCTATGAATTTTCTTCTGTTTACTCAATCTTAGCAAACATGCAAGTTGTTGACTCAAATTACACAGTTTAGCGCCTATTTCATGACCTAGTCTACGTGCTAAAGCATAAGATCATTCGTTTTCAACTTATTTTAACTGAATTAGCGATCCAGTGATGGTGTTTAGAATTAGTTATGCCAAAAACACTCAACCCACAATATACAATTGCATTTATCATTGGTCTTCTGTAGGATATTCCTTACAGAAGTCATACCTATCTATTATCGATTGTCTTAAATGGGAAAGATGAAAAAAAAATACTATCAGTTCACTGAGCTTTTTCGATGATAAAAGGCAGCAGATAATTATTAGCTTTCAGCCGTAGCAATTTCTCTCTTCTAATCAATAAGCGAAAATTGATTTGCATAAAATAACACCATTACATGACAAGCAGTTGTATCAAATATTTCCAGTGTCCTATCATAACTGAACTCATGATGTGTTTGTGTGATACCTGGTCGATCCTTATGTACAGTTGTGTGTGTGTGTGTTGCTTCTACAGCAGGTTGAGTGAAATGATACTGTTTCAAATGAAGGCTTGGTTGAATTCTACTTTGAAATCACATTGTGTTGTGATAGACTTCACTTTATTTTGAGCAAAAAGAAAGAAAAAAGATAAACAGAAGCTTGCATACAACTTTAGCATGCGTCGTCTTCACTGTGATACTTACTTACTGATCCCTCGATTTTTCAAGCATAATATGCAAAATATGAAAATCCATACAAATGATTTGATTTGCTTAGCTTCTGCATAACTTTCTTTTTCTTTCGAATAAAACATCATACGGATTTTTCTAAAAAAAATACTTAGTGCTGAACAATGACGACATATTACTTACTTCTTTGATTACGTAGTCAGTAATCCAAGTAAACTTAAATTATAAAAAACAGTATGAAACTATAATTTCTGTATTTAAAAGAATTTCAATTACACTTACGTGCTTCCCAGTATTTTCATTATTGGGGGGAATTTTATTCTAATTATAGAAAAAGCGTTGCATGTGCAGTTTATTTTTAAACTGATTAACAGACTGGTATTTTCAAGTATAAAAATTGATCAGATAAGACTACAAAAATTAACGCAGTCAACTGAGATGTGATAAGAATTTTTCCGAATGATCAACATGTTTTTTTTTGTAATTCAACGTGCTTATCAAAGCCAACAATCTACTGGTGTTTCTCAGTCCTTACCGATTCACTAACTTGAGAGGGAAGAACTACATCATGTAGAAGAAGTGTGCTTGAGATACCTAAACACAAGCTGAAATTTTGTGGATTCCAGTTTAGAAAACAGAAAGATTGAGCGAAGAAATATTTACTTCTCAATTAGATCCTCATCTCTGGCTCTACTCTAATATATATAGCATTTTTATTGCAATACATCAGTTTGCCAATCAAGTGGCGATAGGTTTGTTAACAATAATTAAACAGTGTCAATGGGTTAATAGTTAACGAAGAAAATCAATACACATTTAAAAGGTCGAAATGGTTAGAATAAATTAATTTCACAAGTATAACACGTAAATTAAAGATGAAGTGGTCAAAATAAATAAAAAAAATAACTTAGACAAATGTAATTTTATAGGTTTAGGGGGAGGGGGCGACGCAGTCCTGTTTATCCATTCTTGTGACGATGGCCACGGTAGGGAAAGTTTATTGTCACTTTAATAAAGACATTTGATTTAAATAGCCAATCTTCAATGAGAATAACATCGTTTTTTTTACATCGATAAACCTTGACACTGAAAGTATGGTTGACATACCAGCTATAGAATTATATGATACCAAAAACAGTTGTTCAGTATTAAATGATTCTC